TATTCTTACTTTAGGAAGTAGAAGGCTTGAGTTAAAGTGCTGGCCCTGTTTTTAACTGCTAACTGACTTTGACTCTGATTCTTTTGTTCCTCAATGTTCTTATTTGTAAAATAAGGAGATGATATGAAATGATGTCTAATCTCTCTTCTTTCAATCATAACACTATATTATCTATATGTCTACGACTGTCAATCGAGAAACTGAGAACATTTCCATGTCTTATAATCTGAACTATTACAGAAGTGTAAAAGAAAAAAAAAATCATGATGTGTAGAAAATGTATGTTTTGTTTTCACCAAAATAAAAATAAAAAGCATTTTGGGTGGTTCTATCCAACCATGGTTCACATTGCTATTGAGTAGTACATTTGAGCTATATTAAAAATCCCCTGAATCAGATATTATCTGACAGCATCACTGGCAAATGAGTATTTTTCTCTTTGCTAATGACTTGACTGCTAACCAGGAGGCTGGTGGTTCAAACCCACCAGCCACTCCTTGGAAGGAAGGTTGGGCAATCCTACTTCCGTGGTGATAACTGCCTCGGAAACCCAAGGAGGGGTCGCTAGGAGTCGGGGCTGACTCTATGGCAAATAACAACAACAACAACAATGACTCTGCCTAAGCAACAGGACCAAGAAATTAATTTCAATGTGTCCAGAATGAATGATTGGCTTTGTATGAACTTAAACTGCAGAGATATTATGTAAGATATTGGACTTTATGTTAATTTTCACATCCAGTGTCCATTTGGCTATGAAGATAGATGGCTGGTGCCTCAATGCCTGCCTTCACGAATCCCTGGACAACAAATTATAACTTGGGGCCCAGCTTCAACCTTACCAGGGCATTGCCTTGCCTGGCTTCAAACCTCTGAGGACCTCCCGTCTCTGTAATTGGGTCCACTTGGCAACCATACAGACCAGATCTTTATCCCGATTTATGGGTAGGACAACCATAAGCCTGTCTCAAGTTTACTTGCCTAGTCTTCATCTCACATTTCTGTATCTTTTTGTAAAATCTTTTTTTCTTTAAATATACTAGGTACTTTTTATAAGAATGATTTGTAAGTAGGTTCTTCTTTTACTGCAAAACTTCAGGCCCAGGACAAAAGATGAGAAGCAATGACCTTAGCTCGTGACCCATTGTTCCTCCTAGTATTCCACACTGCCTTCCTCTCTTCCACTGCACCTTGAACATACTTCTCTGAGAGCATTTTTCATTTCCATTGGTATGATTACGGATAGCACCAACTGAGAACTTTCTGTATGACCAGCAGGCCACCTATGTAATCTCAAATAACCCAATAACAAATCTGACACAAGTACTACTGTTATCCACATTGCACAGTTGTTGTTAGGTGCCATCAAGTCTGACTCATAGCAACCCTGTGTACAACGGAATGAAATGCTGCCCAGTCCTGTGCCATCCTCACAATCCTTGCTACGCTTGAGCTGTTATCGCAGCCACTATGTCAATCCATCTCATTAAGGGCCTTCCTCTTTTTCACTGACCCTCTACTTTACCAAGCATGATATTCTTCTCCAGGGATTGATCTCTCCTGGGAACATGATGAAAGCATGAGAGATGAAGTCTTGCCATCCTTGATGCTAAGGAGAATTCTGGTCGTGCTTCTTCAAGACACATTTTTTTTTTTTTCTTTCACATTTGAGTAAACTGAAACAGGAAGATTAACTTTCTCCCAAGCAACACAGCTAGAAAGTGGCAGAGTTCAGGCTTAGTCCCAGGTCCATCCTGCCAGAAAGCCACATTTCCTAACCACCACAATTACTCATACCACTAGTATAGTTCACCTTTTACATGAATGTCTCACTCAAGTGCTTAGAGACATCTGCTTCCAGGTGCCCCACCTGCCCACTGACTAGGATACTCCAGGTACTTCATGTGGGATTCCCTGATTTTAATACTTAGTTTGAACTATAATGTGTTGTATTCTGCCTTATTTGCCAGAACCTGTATTTGGCTTTACCTTCCTATCCTTATGCCTATGAAAGATCATATGTGAGTCTTCACTTCTTTCTCATCTCTTCTCTCCTGCTGCAGTTTGCTAAGACACGCCCAGTTATAAGCTGAGATAGGACAATGATTTAAACTCCTATTTATGCATTTATATTCCATGTAGGTGGAACACCCTTCTCATGATCACAAGAGGGAAAAACACAGCCATGCTGGGTATGCATGCCTTTGACCTAGGCTTTGCTTTGATCACATTCTCTTGTAGTTGGATTCTGTGGATTTTGGGGATTTGTCTGAGAACAACTGTATCTGCCATCACAGAGACTGGAGGAAGGAGTAAGTGAAGGAATGCATACCACAGGCAAAAAATGTAAGGTAGACAACTTGTATCTGGCCCATTCATACTTCTTTTAAAGACCTTTCTTTTGCATGAAGGCTTTATTTCACCTTCAGTCTCAAAAGCTATTTTAGGAGAGACTAGAGTTCCTGGCTGGTAGTTATTTCCTTCACACTGAAGATTTGTCCTTCTGCTTCCAATTGTCACTGTTATAAAGTCAGCATTCAGTTTGTCACTTCTTAGAAGATAATTTGTTAACCCACTCACCTACTCCTCTTGCTTATTTTAACATTTTTTGTTTGTCTAGTATTTATTTATTTATTTTAATGTGATGCCTTTTTTATTTATCATGCTTGGTGGTTTTTGTTTCTTGGGATTCTTGTTTCTATGAAATGACATCTTTCATCAGTCTTAGAAAATTTTAACATCTCTTCAAACATTGCTTCTACTCTCTCTCTCTCTTTTTTTCTGGGACTCCAAATAAACGTATGTTATATATTTTCTATGTATCCCTTTTGTGTTATACCCTAATCCATATTTTTCATTCTTTTACTTAATTCTGGATAGATTCTTCTGACCTAGCTTCTGGTTCGCTATTTCTCTATTCAGCTCTGTCTAATCTGCCAATAAATGTTTCAACTGAGGTCTTTAATTCAGCTATTGTCTTTATCAGTTCTGAAATTATTCTTTTGTTCTTTTTCATATTGAAGTGTCACTTTTTATAGTTGGCAATTCCTTGCTATAATGTTAAATGTAAATTTTAAGTTTGACTTTTATCTCAAGCTTGGTAATCAGCATTGGTTAACAACCTGCACCTGGTGATTTTATTATCCGATCTGTCATATTAATGAGTTTGCTTCCATTGTCTCTGTTTATGTGTATTAGCCTTGTCCTATTGTATCCTCGTGTTCCTAAATATCTTTGATTGTGTGGTGGCTATTATATAAGAAAGATTATTGGTGGAAATCAGGTCTAGGGTGATTTTCTTTCTCTTCAAAGACAATTTTAAATTGTTTTTGCCAGATTCCAGATGCCAGCAATACAGGATCCCTCCATGATTCTAGGATTTGTGATTTTGGGGGTACAGAATGGTAACTAAAACTAGGATGCAATCTCTGTGAGTGATGTTTTACTTTCATTTCCACAGTTTATGGGATTGTTTAAGAATTTCCACCCTATTCAGGCTCTTGACTCAAAATTTGGTCCTCTTTGCCCTGAGAGCTCACAGAAGTCCTGTCTTTCTCAATTAGAAAACCCCATATCAAAGTAGTCCCCAAAGCTGTGTTCATATCTCTCTCAGATATTAGCTCTGAAATTTCACACTGTCATGTGAATTCCATATTTTTAAAGTCCATTCCATTTTTTTTAGTGTTTTTCATTAGGAGAATTGATCCAAGTTAACATTATGAAAAACCTTACAATTTGTATAGTATTTGGCTTACTGAAGAAGACTCATAGAAAAGGTTAACATACAGTCATAAATCAAGTGCTGTTTTAAGTAGATTAGTGATCTAATCTAATAAAATAATATTTGGAATCACCCCATTAGAATAACTTCAAAATGTTTTCTTGAGTCAAATTGGAAAGAAACTAGCCAATTAGAGTTTGTGTAGGACAATGCCAGGAAAGTAAAATAAAAAGACCCATTAATCAAGAGAATCTGGTTTATATTTGGATAAAATGTCAACAAATACAATATGAAAGATGGTGATACTTTTGTTAGAAAATCATATAACTGAATAACGTAAATTAAAAAGAAAAAGAAAACCTCATTCACTTGAAGCACAAAATATTAGTTTCAGGTGAGAATGGATGGGAATAGCGGAAATTTTTTGTCATCTGGCCAATAAATGAAGGAGCCTTGGTGGTGCAGCGGTTAAGCACTTGGCTGCTAGTCGCAAATTCGGCAGTTCAGACTTACCAGTTGCTCCACGGGAGAATGATGTGGCACTCTGCTTCCATGAGCATTACAACATTGGAAACCCTATGGGGAGATTCTACTCTGTCAGAATCAGCTCAACTGAAATAGGTTTGGTATTTATTTTGGACCAACTAATAGTCATATACCTTTTCCTCCATCTCCATGACCCAACCTATTCTGCTCTATTAGAATACCGATTTGTCTAAGTGGCAGGTAGAGATGCTGATCTCAACAAAAGGAGAATCCTATGAGACAGAGGCTAAATAATAATTGATCTATGAATAACCTTTTTCACTTTGCCAGATATTTACTGTCGTAATCTCCATTGCGGTTCATCCTGGGCAGTGATAGATAAGGCAGGATGGGGCTTTTGTGAAAATGTTGCCTTTTTGATTAAAGAACAAAATAACAGAAACAGCTGACACAATTCCTTCTCCCTTTCACTAGATTTGAACTTTGACAGGATGTTTAAAACTTCAACAGACATTTTTTGACCATGATATAACAAACACAAAATGAAGATCCAACACACTATGAATAGCAGAGCAGAAACTGAGTTTTTAAACAAACTCTAAGATTATCTACCTCTTCATTCATTGGTAGGTAAAAAATAAATGTTGTTATGGTTTAAGTCACTAATAGTTGGGTTTTCTATGACTTGACATTGAAAAAATCCAGAGTTAGCATATCTACTAAATGAGATCCATATGGCAGTGTTTTGATACAAGTATGACTGGAGACAATGCTTGAAATTTTTGTCACTTACCATAATACAAGAGTCCTGAGGTTCAAGGTCATAGTCTGTGATGTTCAACAGAACACGGTGATTTCTTTCAACTTCAATGACCCAGGAACACTCAGTGTTACTCCTGTAAGGGCTGGGATAATTTGGAGAATGAATCTCTCCACTGGGAGCCCTGAAAATCCCACCACAACCTGTGAATGAAAACCATTAAATAATGAGAGAGACCTCTGACATATGAAACTCTTCACCATTATCTATCACTATATACCAATATATTATTTGCTTACTCACCAGTTTTATTTAGTCCATACCAAAGATTTTAAAGAACTGAATGCCCACTATTGATTCATTTATCTCAACAGAATGAAAAAGGACTTGGGTAATACTAAAGAAAATACTTCAAACACTTTAAATATTGACGCTAAATGTCATAAAATTAATAACAGTGCAAATGAAATTACATTTTCATAAAGTCATGAAATAACTCTTCATGGTTCCCTAAAAACATAGCATACAATAAGAATAACACATCTCCTTCCAAGAATTTTGATACTCCAGAAGTCTATGCTTTTGCAAATAATTTAATATATGCCCTTTAAAAATTTAATATTCTGAAGCTACCATTGCTGAACTTTTTAATCAAAGATTCCATAGAAGTATCCTGATCAAAAGGGAGAAAATGCAGAATAGAATTTCAAATTCTCATGGATTTTAGACTTTCTGGCATCACAGAGGGTAGATGAACCCCTGAAACTATTGCCCTAAGATAATCTTTAAACTTTAAACCAAAAATATTCCCTGAAGTCTTCTTAAAACCAAACAATGTTATTATTGTTAGGTGCCATTGTGTCAGTTCTGACTCATAGCAAACTTATGTACAATAAAACGAAACACTGCCTGGGCCTACACCATCTTCACTACCACCTACACCATCCTCACTACCGCCTACACCATCCTAACTACCGTTGCTATGTTTGGGACCATTGTTGCAGCCACTGTGTCAATTCATTTCGGTAAAGGTCTGTCTTCCTCTGTTTTGCTGATCCTAAACTTTACCAAGCATGATGTCCTTCTCTAGAGACTAGTCCCTCCTAATAACATGTTCAAAGTATGTGAGATGAAGTCTCATCATTCTTGCTACTAAGGAGAATTCGGGCTGTACTTCTTCCAAGACAGATTTGTTCATTCTTCTGGCAACAACACAATGCAACACACCACCATCGACTCAGATCCGACTCATAGAGACTCCTCCTTGGGTTTCCAAGGCAGTATCACTACAGACGTTGATTGCCCAACTTTTCCAACCTTCCCCAACCTTCCTTCTGAGGAGTGGCTGTTGGGTTTGAACCACCAGTCTTCTGGTTAGCAGTCAAATGCCTTAGGAACTACATTACTAGAGCTCCCTATTCTTCTAGCAGTCCATGGTATATTTAGTATTCTTCACCAGTACCATAATTCAAAGGCATCAATTCTTCTTCGGACTTCTTTTATTCATTGTCCAGCTTTCACATGCATATGAGGCAATTAAAAAGACAATGGCTTGGGTCAGGCACACCCTAGTGCTCAAAGTAGTATCTTTGGTTTTTAACACTTTAAGGAGATGTTTTGCAGCAGATTAGCCCAACACAGTATTTGATTTAACTGCTGCTTCCATGGGATCCAAATAAAAGAAAATCCTTGAAAACGTCAATCTCTTCTCCGTTTATCATGATATCGCTTACTGGTTCACTTGTAAGGATTTCAGTTTTCTTTATGTTGAATTGTAATCTATATTGAAGGCTATTGTTTTTGATTTTCATCAGTAAGTGTTTCAAGTCCTCTTCACTTTCAGCAAGTAAGGTTGTGTCATCTGCATATGACAGGTTGTAATGAGTCTTTGTCCAATCATGATGCTGCAAACTTCATGTAGTCCAGGTTCTAAAAATACGTGCCCAGCATACAGACTGAATAAGTATGGTGAAAGGATATAACCCTGACACATAAGTTTCCTGATTTTAAACCATACAATATCTTCTTGTTCTATTTGAAGAATAGAACTGCCTCTTAGTCTAAGTTCAGTTTCTGCATGAGCACAATTCAGTGCTCTGGAACGCCCATTCTTTGCAATGTTATCCAGAATTTGTTATGATCCACACAGTTGAATACCTTTGCATAGGTGATAAAACACAAATAAACATCTTTCTGGTATTCTCTGCTTTCTGACATCAGCAATAACATCCCACATTCCACATCCTCTTTTGAATCCAGTTTGAGTTTCTGGCAGTTCCCCAATGTACTACTGCAACCATTTTTTAATTATCTTCAGCAAAATTTTACTTGCATGTGATATTAATGGTACTGTTTGACAATTTCTTCATTCCTTTTAGCTTCCGTACCAGCCATTCCTCAGAAGGAAGGTTGGGCAATCTACTTCCGTAGTGATACTGCCTTGGAAACCCAGGGAGGGGTCGCTATGAGTCGGGTCCGACTCAATGGCACATAACAACAGCAACAGTAAAAACAAGACATGCAATGACATTACGCTCTTTTAAGAACTATCTATATGGGATCAAATTGACAACAGCAACTTGAAAGATCAGACAGGAACCTTAGGGGGCACCGAGTCAATGTTAATTGAGGGAGGAACAGCTCCGAAAAAGGAGAGTGAGAGTGGCTGCACAGATCAAAGAATATAATGAATGTCACTAAAATGTACACTGAAACTGTGGAATCGGTGTATGTTTTGCTGTGTTTATTCTCAACAACAACAAATTAAACTAAATTTAAAGAAAAAAATATTCTGGACCAAGTACAGTTACTTAGGTTTTTTACTCCTATGATGTTATCAAGTATCTATCAGTACAATGTCCACATCTGTGACCCATCACTTCTTGGATTTATGATGGTATTGTGGTACAATGGGTTTCTCTTACATATGAACTTCTGGCCCTGGATTTGTAAAATTTTCCCAGAATGACTGGTCAGACTACAACCTTGCAAGTAATTGATCTACTTACTAGCCACATAAACAGCTTGTAATACACTCAGTGTGATGCAGTAGCTTGCAGTCCACCTAAGGGATTAATTGGTTGTGGTCATTCTGGAAAAGTCATGCCTTGAGATTGCCTACAGAAAAGGCCAGCCTTACAGAGGTTTCTGGGAACCTCATGACCATCAAGATCCTGAAGCAGAGAGTGTCCTCTAGACCCAGAAACCCTGCACTGAGAATCTTCTAAACCCAGATATGTTGCTGTTGTTGTTGTTATGTGCCGTCGAGTCAGGCCCGACTCACAGAGACCCCTCCTTGAGTTTCCAAGGCAGTATCACTACGGAAGTAGGATTGCCCAACCTTCCTTCCGAGGAGTGGCTGGTGGGTTTGAACTGCCAGCTGTCTGGTTAGCAGGCAAGAGTCTTAGCCACTATGCTACCAGAGCTCCTAGACCCAGATAAAAGAGGTATAATATGTGTCAAAGGCTATAATACCTAGGAGAGAAAAGAATGCTTGGCTGATGAGAAGCTGGGCACTCCCAGATAAGCTGCGCTACATAAGCTTGGAAAATCCTGTGCAGGTATCTTTCTCTAGCAAGGGAGAGCTGGTGACACCTGGCCTAGTGAGGCCAAGAAGCAAAGTTGAGCATGGTGGGCAGTGCAGGAACCCCAGGCAGTGTAGGCCCCAGGTAGCATGGTAGGAGTGAGAGGCAGTGGTGACTTGAACACAGCATTTAACCTGGACCATGGCACACCTGTTAGGTTGCACATATATGGACTTGTGTAATGTGGGGAAAAGATTAAGCTGAGGTTCACTCTTTCAGTCATAAACAGGTTCCTCTCCTACAAAGTGAACCATATGTAGGGAGGTAGGATCGTTTCATCAATAAGTAATCTGTTTACTAATTACTGTCTACAATTAATGATAATGACTTTGTCTTTGTCAACACAGTGTCGCAGTGTGTTTGAAGTATTTTTCTCAGTATTGTCCATTGCATCTTTCTTTATTCTGTTGGGATAAATGAATCAATGGTGGATGTTTAGTACCCATGGAATGGTTGATGCCACTGGATGAAGTCTTCATTCCTAGAAGTTTTATTGCTACTTAGATGTCTAAGGCACAGTCTGTCTGTGTGTGCAATGCAGACAGATAGATATCAAACAATAATGGAAAGATTCAGTATTATTTACCAATAATTAAAAATGACTTGGGAGTAATCTAAACACTATATATATTTTATTCTGACTACGCTCATGCATTTCTAATTTGTGAGAGGTCTGATATACTTCCTATATTATCTTATAGCAGAAGCAGTGGTGCCATCAGATGTCCTTGAGTCACTTCTCTGCCTAATTGTATGACTTTCACTAACTTCTCTAAATTGAAATTTCATTAGTAAAATGAGGATATCCTTCTGACACAGGATTAAATGAAATAACCTATATAAAACTGTTAGAAAAATGCCTAGCTTATAGTTAAAAAGAAAAAAAAAAACTCACTGCCATCAAGTTGATTTGACTCATAGTAACCCCTCCTTGGGTTTCTGAGGCGATTGCCCAACCTTCCTTGAATGCTTTTAGTAAGCATTCAATAAATACGGCTATTTTTAATAGCTGTAGAGTCAATTATCTGCTAAAATATTTTGTGCCTTAGTTTGTTCATATAAAAATCTAAGCCAATGAATTAATACAGTCTAAGATCTTGGGCAGAAAGTCACTATATAACACACAGTAATTCCTTGGAATTCACAAATCCATTGTTCTTCTTTTTGGCATTTGCCAAGAATCCAAGCATCTATGTTATGGCATAGGGTAGTTTACTACCTTGGTGAACAGGCACAACTTCCTTGGAGAATAAGTAAGTCAAGCCAATCACCCAGCTTCTGCTCTCAGCATGGATTTACATGCTCTAGTTTTCCCATATGTACAGACTCTTGGGAAGTTAAACTCTATCACAATATTTTAAGAGAACATTATATGCCAACAACAACAACATATGCCAAAGTAGTATTCACCATTTGGGAAGTCACTAAGTTGTCAAAGATGCTGCCTTCATCATTCCTTTCTCTAGTCATTTGATGAATTTTCACAAGGGCTCAGCTTAAGCACTTTGAGATACTACCTTGGTTCACTCACCTCCAGGGACCACTTGCCATGAGATATTAAAGCCTCTTCCATTTATGGAGCTGTCAGTTTTAAATCGGATTGCTAGCTCATTTCCAGTGCTGGATACCTGCATGGGATTTTCAGATGATCTTTGGGCACACAGCTGGGCTATTCTGGGAGAGTGGAAATCAGGACCTCCATAGATCTAAGACGGAGTATACAAAAAAAGGGCTTGAATGAATATATATACATAATTATATATTTAAGCAAATACAACCCTTTCTCCTGGATCCTTTTTACCACCAGCTCTTGGATTCTGTTATGATTAGAGACTATAATCTCAGCTTCACTTGGCAGAGGGTGGGGGGTGGGGATGAACTATTAACTTGCTCTGGATTTTTAAGGGCACTTCTCTGATTTGAAAGGAGCCTCCATGGTAGAGTGGTTACTAGCACCGCTGCAAACCAATGGATGGTGTGGAAGAAAGATGTGACAGTCTATTTCCATAAAGACTGTTGTTGTTGTTAGGTGCTGTCAAGTCATCTCCAACTAATAGTGATCCTATGTACAGCAAAACGAAACACTGCCCAGTACTGTGCCAGCCTCACAATCCCTACTATACCCAAGCCCATCGTTGCAGCTACCATGTCAATCCATCTTGTTGAGGGTCTTCCCCTCTTTTGCTGACCTTCCACTTTACCAAGCATGACATCCTTCTCCAGAGAATGGTCCCTTCTGACAACATGATCAAAGTAGGTGAGAGGAAGTCTAGCCATTCTCTCTTCCAAGGAGCATTCTGGCTGCACTTCGTCCAGGACAGATTTGTTAGTTCTTTTGGCAGTCCATGGTACTTTCAGCATTCTTCACCAACACCACAACTCAGAAGTACCAACTCTTCTTCAGTCTTCCTAATTCATCATCCAGCTCTCACATGCATATGAGGTAACCGAAAATATCATGGCTTGGGTCAGGCACATCTTAGTCTTCAAGGAAACAACTTTGTTCTTCAGCACTTGAAAGAGGTCCTTTGCAACAGATTTGCCTGATGCAATACATCGTCTGATGTCTTGACTGCTGCTTCCATTGGTGTTGACTGTAGAACCAAGCAATTATGAACTCTTTGACAGCTTCAATCTTTTCTCCATTCATCGTGATGCTGCTTTTTGATCCGGTTGTGAGGATTTTTGTTTTCTTTATATTGAGGTGTAATCTATACTGCAGACTGCAGTCTTTAATCTTCATCAGTAAGTACTCCAAGTCATCCTCACTTTCCAAAGTTGTGTCATCTGTGTATCTCAGGTTGTTAATGAGCCTCCCCGCAATGGTGATGCCACATTCTTCTTCATATAGTCCAGCTTCTCAGATTATTTGCTCAGCATACAGATTGAGTAAGTATGGTCAAAGGATACAACCTTGATGCATGCCCTTCCTGATTTTAAACCATGCAGTATCCCCTTGTTCTGTTCCAACAACAGTCTCCTGGTCTACATGCAGATTCTTCATGAGTACAATTAACTGTTCTGCAATTCCCATTCTTCTCAATGTTATCCATGATTTGTTATTATCCACAGCCTTGGAAACCCTATGGGGAAGTTCTACCCTGTTCTATAGGGTCACTATGAGTTAGAGCACAGTGCTTAAGGCACTTGACTGCTAACCAGAAGCCTGGCGGTTCAAAGCCATCAGCCACTCCTTGAAAGGAAGGTTGGGCAATCTACTTCCGTTGTGATACCCCCTTTGAAACCCAAGGAGGGGTCGCTATGAGTCGGGTCCAACTCAATGGCAAATAACAACAACAACAACAACAACAACAACGTGAGTTGGAAGTGACTCAATGGCAATTGATTTGGTTTGTTTTGGTCCTTTGACTTAGGAAGATAGCATTAAACCACCCATGAAATTCTTGCTTCTTTCATCATTCAGAATTGTAGAGCTGAACTAAGTAAATTATTCCAAAATCCTCTTTTATCTTCCTTCTTCCTCATTTTTCTATCTTCAAAGGATTCCTGCTCTCTTTGACAGAAATTGTACAGATAATACAATATCAAATCTAATTTTCTAAATCCTATAGCATATATGAAGAAGCCCTGGTAGTGCAGTAGTTAAACACTCAGCTGCTAACTGAAAGATAAGCAGTTCAAACCCACCATCACTCTGTGGGAGAAAGATATGGCAGTCTGCATCCATAAAGATTACAGCTTTGGAAACCCTATGAGGCAGTTCTATTCTGTCCTACAATGTTGCTATGAATTGGAATTGACTTGACAGTAACAGATTTGGTTTTGTTTAATGTTGTTACGTGCTGTTGAGTCGGACCCGACTCATAGCGACCCCTCCTTGGGTTGCCAAGGCAGTATCACTACAGAAGTAGATTGCCCAACCTTCCTTCCGAGGAGTGGCTGGTGGGTTTGAACCACCAGCCTTCTGGTTAGCAGTCAAGTGCCTTAGGCACTATGCTAAATAATGTTAGTGTAAAGACACTCTGTTTATGAATGTTGAGTTCCCTGAAGGCTGTTGATCTTCCAGTTACCTTGTTAGGATTTTCCACCTAATGTGCAGCCTGAATGTTTTATAAAATTGGGCATTAAATATTATATGATGTTTTTGTTTCTTCAGAGGTAATGGAAATACAACTATAATTGTGTTCCGGAGTATCACCAAGGAAGGAATCCTACAAATAACTCTCAGCATGTTCATTTCCAGGAACCTGACTAATATCATCAAATTTGTGCTCAGGAATTGCTCCAAACTATTCCCCATCTTCTGAGTGGCTCCCTCTAGATCCATCTCATTTGGCTACAGATCTCTTCATTCATTCTGACTGCCATCGAGTTGATTCTAACTCATAATGACCTTTTAGGACTGAGTAGAACTGCCTCATAGGGTTTCAAAGGCTGTAAATCTTTATGGAAACAGACTGCCTCATCTTTTTCCTGTAGAGCAGCTGTCAGGTTCAAACCACTGACCTTTTGTGTTAGCAGCCAAATGCTTTAACCACTCTACCACCAAAGCTCCTTTCAAGCCTCCTAGGCTTCTCCAAATTTGCAACTCTCTGGATTTATGAACCACAGTCCCAGTGGCACATTCCTTCTAGTAAGTGCCCCCTTGTTCTCATTCATCCATGCATCCTGCAGGAAAGCTCAGCCCAGCCTAGGCCTTAGAACACCTTACACACAGGTTTCTCAGTCTTCTCTGGGCCCTGCTCATAGTGTATGTGTATGTGTGTCAGAGAAAGAGACAGAGACAGAAAAAATGAGTGTGGTGAGAGTTGGGGCTAGAAATTAACAGAAGAGGTCTCTTCAAACTTGAATTTATAAAAGACAGTCTTATGTCAGATGACAGTTTCCAGGTATATTGCTGTTTGTATACCCCATAACCTGCCCCCCCTTGCACACAACAGGCCAGAACCAGGAGAAGCAGCTGTCAGTGAGATCTGTGTACAGCACCCAGTGCCCTCCCACCTCTCCTATCTGTGCCCCTCTCCCACCTCTAGGTCATTCTCTCCCCATTCCTCAGGCACCCCAGGTCCTTGCCCACCCCCTGGCTTGCTGACTGATAAGGGAATCACTCAAGTGTTCTCTGGGGGATAGCCAGTGAGAACAAGAAGCCTACTTGTGGGGAGGAGTATGTGATTTGAATCTATAATGATTTCTTTGTCTGATTAATTCCCCCCAGCCATGAAGAAAAGGCCAAAATGAATGAAACTGCTGTTCCACAGAGGGCTGAGCACAAGGACTGTAATTGCAAAGGAATGAAGCCTGCTGACTGTTCCGGGCTTATTTTCATTAGGAGGAGCTGATGTTTGTGTGGCCTTCTAAGTCTCATCAAAAGCAGGACTTTAGGAAGAGCCCTGTGTGGCCCTCCACACGTACACATATGCTAATAGAGAAAGCAAGACTGCTAGGAGCCTTCCTCGTTTCTTCTTTAGTGTTCTTTCACATTTTCAAGAATGCCCTACCCCCTGGCCCAGGGAGCAGCAGCATGCCTTAAACTGACAGCATGTGCTTCTAATCAACTAAGCCCAATAAACAGGACATATTTGAAGAGAACATTACACACGAGGGTTTGGTGCTAACAATGAAAACTCACAGGTCGGCAAAATATTCTTTGTTTTCCCTGCTCGTGGGCCCCCTTGAGATTATAGACATAATGGGTATGAGTTGGCTGGGCCTAGAAACTTCCTGAAGAATAAATGCTGCCACTTTTGACATTCTTTGCTTCCTTTCTTACCCGGCTGCACTCACAAATGGCCACAGCAGAGAGGCCAGACGGAGCTAAGTGCCCAAACTAAGCAATTATCTTGGTTTATTGCATGAAGGACTGGATTTCCTTTTCTGCTTTCTGCCTGTTCAGGCTGTTCTCTATAGAGCTTTTACAAAGACTGAAGCAAAACCAGGCAGAATGTTTCCATGACAAAAACAATAGAATGGTACTTTTGGCTTCCACAAATAAAACCAACAGTTAGCACATGACTCTTAAAAAGAGGAAAAAGATGGAAAGAATTTCAGGGTGTGGCTCATGCGATTACAGCAGATGACTAAAATAGGAGAAAAAGATTTGGTCCGATGATCAGAGATTTTTTTAAAAATGTGATTTTAGCGAATGGCCGAGGTAGAGAACATTTCAAAGCCTATGGTTTTAATCTGTTTTGAACATTTCTTTCTGCTCTGTTAGCTCCATTTATTGCTACAATCAAGTCAGCATTCCAGGGTTATGAGTAACCAAGCGCTGTTGCTTTATGCAACTGGCCAGTTTCTGGACACTGATTTTTAAGCGGGGGGGGGGGGGGGGGGGACTCCCGGTTAAACTTGGTGAAACCCAGGTAAAGCTGAAAGCCTGGTGACCATAAGGCATTACTCAGCTGTGCTCAACAGATTATGAAAGAAAAAATATGCAGGCTGAGAACATGAGTCAAGAAAGTCAGCAATGTTTCTGAACACACATCCACCAAGGCTGATAAAATTCAGTCTGCTCCTAACATGTTATCTAATGTCTGAATGGTGGGGAGAAAAAGTCATTTTCTCATTATCAGTCTAAATGTATCACAATAATTTCTAACTGAGTTGAATATTTGCAGAGTCAAAGTAGTTGAAACCAATCCTGCAATATCAGTAATAACAAACAATAATCTGCTAGTGGATACATAGGGAGACAGGCAAGGTAAACAGATAAAGGTAGGTGATAACATTCATAACCATATATAGGTCTGGCAGAGGATATTTCTACATACATATTTGTATGTGCTGTAAATATATCCATGTGTATAGTAAAGCAGTCAGGGGGCAAAGTTATGAAAGGTTATTCACCAGAAAAAAAAAAAAAAACCTCACTGCCATTGAGTTGAATCTGACTTACAGCGATCCTTCCTTGGGTTTCTGAGGAGGTATTTCTATCGAAGTAGATTGCCCAGTCTTCCTTCCAAGGACTGGCTGGTGGGTTTGAACCACCAGCCTTCTGGTTGCCAGTCAAATACCTTAGGCACTACACCATCAGAGCTTCTTAGCTATAAGCAAACACCTTGAGGTAATGAAAAGACCAGGCTTACTGGTCGGATAGAGACTGGTGGAACCCCTGAAACTGTGGCCCTTAGTCACCCTTCCAGCCTAGAACTAAACTCATTCTCATGGCTCAACTTTTAGCCAAACAACAGAAAGTCTTATAAGGTAAACAATAACACCAAGGAGATTCACACTCCTTGGAACAACCAACCATACAAGATCAAAATGGCAGCATTTGTTCAGGGATAAGGTTCAGAAACCAGGAAAGGATCGGAAAGGAGGAGGAAGAGAAATGGTAAACACAGGGAGGAAGTGGGAAGAGTGTTCTTACATTATGGGGATTGCAATCAATGTCACAAAACAAAATGTGGATGGATTGTTGAATGGAAAACTAATTTGCTCTATAAACTTTCACTCAAATTACAAAAAGCAAAAAACAAAAACAAAAAGGTAGTTGAAGCAAGACTTCTAAACAAAGAGTAGTATTTTTTCATGTGAGGCTGAAAAAATAACTTTTCTAAATATTTGATTGAGGGCCTTCAACTATTCCCCCAGGCCCTGCTTTTGCTGGAACATGGAAGGCCACTGTAATGTCAGCTTGTCCTAACAAAAGCTCTGAGTGGACTGTGGCCTCTCCCCTCAGCCTTTCCTGTGCATGTACAGGACCTTCCCTTGAATGCTGCTGCCTAGACTGCCTGATTTTGTCCCTCAGTAATGGAGGATGCTTTCAGGGAACAGCCAGCCCACTCTTTGACTTCTCACGTAATGGGTGTGACAAAACCCAAAGCACAATGAACCCATTTACATTTTGCCAACTGGGCAACAATCACACGCACTTTGGAATATGAAAATGAAGAGTTTGGAACATTGCACACTGCTGTGGAAAATCTACTGCCAGCCCTTTGTAAGTGTTAGGGGCTTTATGCAACTAAGAAATATCCTTGCTGGCAAGAGGGATCCTGTGAACATTCCACTTGTGAGTGTTATTCCTACTTCACACTGTGAGTGTGAATTTTGGGAGGCATCTTGTTCTTTACTCTTTACACACAAAAAAACTGCTTGTCCTCTGAAATGACTTGGTAGAAGTACTTATGGGAAGACAGGATAGGTTTTGACCCAAGGATGTTATTGGCTCTGTATGATATAACTGACTGAAGCATTGTCTCTGTTAGAAAGACTTGAGTTAATAAATGTAGTTCCTAGTAACTGCATGCATTCCATGAGGGGAAAATTGCAGCACCCCCCCCCCAAGAAAATAACTTATTTGGTGATTCCATAAAGTTGTTAAGTGTTAAAATTTCCCATAAAATACATGATACTTATTTCAACTGAGCAATCTACTTCTGTAGAGGTATCGCCTGGGAAACCCAGGAAGGGTCTCTATGAGTTGGGATTGACTAAACTGCAAGAGTTTGGTTTTTTTATTTTTTATTTTTTTGGTTTTGCACTTATCTATGGTTTTGTAGTAGATTATATGGAGTGTTGAATAGTGACTGGGTTCAGTTCTTAGCTCTTTCACTTACTATCCATGTGGTCATGGAATAATCTATTAATCTTTCGGAGACTCTGTTTTGATAACTATAAAAAGGGACAAAAACCCTTCTTATCTCCACAGGATTGTTTAAGATTCAAATGGGGAAATAGATAGAAAAGTCCCTTTGTAAATAACCATAGATGTGTGTGTGTGTGTGTGTGTGTGTGTCAATCAGTGATTTGGTTGCTTTCATTCATTTTATAAATATATATGTTTACTATTTTTTGGGTACTCTGGCACTAGGAATATAGGAAGGAAAAGGAGGAGGAGGGGAGAAAAAGAAGGGAAGAAGGAAGAAGAGTAGGGAAAGAAGAGATAGAAAGAGAAGAAAACACCCAATCATCGTGGAGTTTAAGTTCTACTAGATATACAATGCTTGTCATGCTATACTATTTTTATAGCATAAAATCAAACTCACTGCTATCTAGTAGATTCCGACTCACAGAGGCCCCCATTGGGTTTCTGAGGCTGTAGATCTTTATGGAAGTAGACTGCCCCATTTTTCTTCCACTGAGTGGCTGGTGGGTTAGAACCTACCTTTTCGTTAGCAGCGGAATGCCTTAACCACTACGCCACCAGAGCTCCTCATCATATGTTATAGCAGTTCCTATAACTCATTGCCACTGAGTTGATTCCAACTCATAGCAATCTTGTAGGTCTACGAACAGTCCCTATAGCTGAGCTAAAAGGAGTTTTATGTGCACTTGGAAGCTATCAGGTTTTGCAGACAGTTCAAAGTTTATATATATATACCCTAATGACTGTTGATGTCAGGTGCCATCATATTGGTTCTGACTCATGGTGAAGCAGAACTTCCTGGTAGAGTTTTCTTGGCTGTAACTTTTAGGGAAGCAGATCACTAGGTTTTTCTCCCATGGAGCAGCTGCATGGGTTCAAATCGCCAACCTTTCAGTGAGCAGCGAGAGTGTAACCATTTGTACTAACCATCCTAATGACTACATTTCTGCAATAAACTGATTATAATGAACATTTGGGCCCCAGATTCTCAAAGGCCATCTTAATTATGTGAGATAAACCCTTTGCAGTAGTGTTGGAAAGTTCTTATCCTCAAATGCCTTATACTATGTAACCTTTAAGAAAATAGCCATCCACAGCAGATGTTTTTGTGCCCTGCATGGGTCGACCTACCTCAGATCTCAGCTGCCCTTGTGGTGGGCAGTCCCTATGCTTGCTGCCAGTGTTCTACCTCAAGTGACTGCCTACTCTCTAAACCCTGCTCTCCAAATATTTTTTCTAAGGGAGAGTGGGGCAACCCTGAACCAATGGGGATGGGAGTTTGAGGATCAATGCTTCAGTGACAGGTCCCTTCAGGGGGACAAGTCTGAGGAGCAGTCCATGTGGACTCTCAGAGGGTCCCAGCAGGACTGAGCCCCAGATGACCACAGAGGCACCCTTTATTGGTTCTTCCTCCTTCACTCTTTCACTCATCTAGTTCCCTCACTCCTGCTTCCTGAGATCACCACCCATTAAGATATTAACCCCATATGTCTGCAAATATGTTATCTATGAAAGGCTTTTATCTAATACAATGAATAGAATAGTGGTGACTACTGGAAAGTATCTGGAAATCTTTGTAGAGTGATTCCCAATTCTACCCCAAATTTTAAAGTACACTAAAAATCAGTCTAAATTCTTACCTCCAGGGAGTCAAAGTTGCAGCTTGCATGATATTCCACATCAAAGTCATGAATGGTAAGCTGAATGCTACTCCCAGGGACTGTATTAATGTACCAGATACACTCCTTGTTTGGTGGGTACCTGGCAGGATATCCTGGGCTGCTGAAGGAACCTGTGTCCCCAAACAGTTCCCCACCACAACCTGTTAAAAGAACAAGAATCAGTCAGTTGAATGTAGGCATCAGCAATGAAAAAAAAAATTAAAATTCAACTAATAATAAGGTAATACAAAATACATAGTTAATTTAGGAGAAAAATAAAATTCAAATAAAGCTATAAATGTTGTTTTTCTTGTTATGTGCTGTCAAGTCAGACCCAACTCACAGCAACCCTTCCTTGGGTTTCCAAGGCAGTAACACTATGGAAGTAGATTGCCCAACCTTCCTTCCAAGGAGTGGCTGGTGGGTTTGAACTGCCAGCCTTCTGGTTAGCAGTCAAGTGCCTTAGGCACTATGCTACCAGAGCTCCCTAAGCTATAAATATATAGTTATAAAACAATGAGAAAAATACATAGCTATAACTTTCTCAAAAAGTATTACATAGTTCGATACAATTATCCTCAGTTATTATTCTTACTTCATCAAACCTTTGGTAAATTCTTTTAAGAATGTCATTATAATTTTTATATTTTCTTCATTATATTTCAGGAAAAATTACATAGTTTGAAGTCTGGATAATGTTAGCAGTGTTGGACAAGTTAACTCCATATCCTTGGGTTTTCAGTTTTCTTACATCTAAACCTAAATGTTTGAGATACATTATTTCTAAATCCTCTTCATATTAACTAGAATTCTAAGTGCTAAAACATTCTTAGCTTTATAATAATGACTGCAGGAAATAAAAGAGTAAATAATATAAGTCCTGACCAAAAGCATGATCCATGAAAGAAAAAATATTGATAAGTTAAACTTCATTGCCCATCATTTGCACATTCTGTTTCATGATCTTGCTTAGCAATGGGCACAAATATAGTTCTCTTCCAGTCGGTTGCCCAGGCAACTATCTTCCAATATCTTGGAATAAATGAATAAGTACCTCCACTGTTGCATCCATTTGTTGAAACACCTCAGTGGGTATTCTGTCAATTCCTGGAGCCTTTTTTTTCCCCCCCACCAATTCCTTCAGTGCAGCTTGGACTTCTTCCTTCAATACCGTTGGTTCTTGATCATACGCTACCTCCTGAAATAGTTAATCATCGACCAATTCTTTTTGGTATTACTAACTCTGTGTATTCCTTCCATCTTCTTTTGATGCTTCCTGTATCATTCAATATTTTGCCAATAGAAGCCTTCAGTACTGCAACTTGAGGCTTGAATTTTTTTTCTTCAGTTCTTTCAGCTTGAGAAATGCTGAATGTATTCTTCTCTTTTGTTTTTCTAACTCCAGGTCTTTGCACATTTCATTATAATACTTTACTCTGTCTTGTCGAGCTGCCTTTTGAAATCTTCTATTCCATTCTTCTCTTTCATTGTTTCTTCACTAAGTGTCCTTCATTAGGTGAATGAATAAACAAGCTTTGCTACATTCATACAATGGAGTATGATGCAGCAACAAAAATTAATGAGCTACAAAGCCCCCCCACACACACACACACACAAAACACTACATACCACATGATTCCAACTACACAACATTTTGGAAAAGGCAAAACTATAGAAATAGTAAAAAGATCAGTGGTGCCAGCAGTTAGAGTGGGAGGAATGAGTGGAGGCTGGGAAATTTTTAGGGCAATGAAAATATTCTCCATGTACTATACTGGTGGTAATAGGACATTATGCATTTGCCAAAATCCACGGAACTGCACAACATACAAGATGAACACTAAAGTTTTATGAACTTTAGTTGGTAATAATGCACTGATATTGATTCAACAATTATTGAATTTTCCCTATTGGGAAAAAAGTGTGTGATTGTGAGAAAGACAGAAAGAAACAGAGCTTGAAAATATTTTGAGGTTTCCTCTTCCTTGTTTGTATTGGCACTACCTCTGATATTTAACATATTAACAAGTGACAAATTTAATTTAAAAGTTCACATTGAGTGAAAAATAGAATATATTCATTTAATGGTGTTTTATGGTCAAAATTACAAAGTACTAAAATATAAATTTGTATAATTATGGTAGAAATTTAATTCCATCTTTTTTCCAAATTGTGAAAGATAAACATATCACCAATTCCCTACATGCATTCTCTTATTCAGTAAGTATCTATTGAGTACATGCCACAGTATAACATCCCTGGTGCTGCAGTGGTTAAGTGCTAAACTACTCCTTGGAAAGTTAGTAGTTTGGATCCACAAGCCAATCCATGGAGAAAGTTGAGGCAGTCTGCTTCCATAGAGATTTACAGCCTTAGAAACCCTATGGGGCAGTTCTGTTTTGTCTTACAGGGTCGCTATGAGGCAGAATCAACTTGATGACAGTGGGTTTTAGAGGTTAACAGTTCTGTACAAGCCAAGTGTATTTTAATGTTTGTTGAAAAGAGGAAACTTATTTATTCAAACAAAATGTGTTACTATACTTGTGCCCTCATGTGAATCATTACATTCTTTTTGCTTTTCCTTCAGTTTGCAAACATTAATTTCAATAATTTTATTTTGAGAAAACAATCAGTGAATTCTATTATAACTTGCACATTTTAATTGATGGTGAATTACAACAAGAAAAAAACAAATCTTCATGTTCAGTTGCTAAAAGATATTTACATATCTCTTAGTTTTGGAAATACAAACATAGCCTAATTCTCTTTTGGTACTAATTTCTAACTCGAAGAGGAGATATTTTAATCAGCATTTTATGTTGCAGTCTCCACGGTATCATGTTTTTTTTCCTAGATTTTGAGAACTTTGTATTAGTGTTGTTGTAAGGTGCCCTGGAGTCAATTCTGATTCACAGTGATTCCTATGTATAACAGATGCAAACACCGCCTAGTCATGAGCCATCCTCACAATCCTCACTATACTTGAGCCCATTGTTGTAGCCATTGTGTCAATCTATTTTATTAAGGGTCTTTCCCCTCTTCCACTGATCTCTACTTTACCAAGCATGATATCCTTCTCTAGGGAATGGTCCCTTCTGACCACCTGACCAAAGTAGATGAGACGAAGCCTAGCCATTCTCGTTTCCAAGGAGCATTCCGGCTACACTTATTGCAGGATAGGTTTGTTAGTTCTTCTGGTAGTCCATGGCACTTTCAGTATTCTTCACCTACACCATAATTCAAAGGCATCAACTGTTCTTCAGTCACCCTTATTTGTAATTTGTATTAGACAAAAGAAAATGTGTCAAAATATATATCCTTTAAAATGAAAAGATGATATCTGTTCTTTCTATAGTCTCTTTCAGTGACAAGGAAAATATGGTCGCAACAAAATTTGGAAATTTTCTATTAATCTGTAATCACATTTGGGAATAGTTTCCTTTCTTATGTTAGTGTGGCAGTATCAGTATAGGTGTTTTTAAACTTAATGATTTTTGAGATATGAAAAGAGCAGAGCAGATACACAGAGAAGCAAGCACAAATGGGAAAAAGATGGATGTCATATGGATATCTCCAAGAAAATGAGAAGCTAAAACAAGGATTTCCTCCCAGGCAGAGAGAGAGAGACAAAGAGAGAGAGACTTCTCCCAGAGCCAGTGCCCTACATTCAGACTTCTAGCCTCCTAAACCATGAGAAAATAAATTTCTGTTCATTAGACCCACCCTCTTGTGGTATTTCTGCTACAGCCCCACTATATAAATAAGATACCAACCAAACCCACTGTCATTGAGCTGATTCTGACCCATAGCGACACGATAGGACAGAGTAGAACTGCCCCATAGGGTTTCCAAGGCCGTACATCTTTATGAAAGACTGCTTCATCTTTCTCCCACACAGTGGATGGTGTCAAACCACTGACCTTTTGGTTAGCAGCCCAGTGCTTTAGCCACAGCACTACCGAGACAAAGGCTATGCAATAACTTAGAACATCATGTCAGTATCAGTATGTCTGTGACTTTGAGTATGACTTTGACAAAGATGGACATGAAAGAAGCTATATCAACCAAAAAAATCAAACCAACTGACTGCGACCTCATATGTTAAAAAGTAATTGCTCTATATTATGTTCTTGGGTGTAATATTTACGGAAGCAGATTATCAAGTCTTTCTTCCATGGGTCCATGGTGCATGTCTGAACCACCAGCCTTTAAGTTAGCAGTCTAGTGCAAACAGTTTGTACCACCCAGGGACCAACCAGTTATCAACCAATAGGTGCCAGGAAATAACGCAGAAGGTGATACTTAGATTACCATATCTTCTTTATCATCATAGGGGCTCTGGTAGTGTAGTGCCTAAGGCACTTGACTGCTAACCAGAAGGCTGGCAGTTCAAACCCACCAGCCACTTGTACTCCTCGGAAGGAAGGTTGGGCAATCTACTTCTGTAGTGATACCACCTCAGAAACCCAAGGAGGGTTCACTATGAGTCAGGGCGGACTCGAAGGCACATAACAACAACAACAACAACTTTATCATCATGTTAGCTGTCTTGCTGAATGAATAACAAATAGAGGAGTCTGAGTGATACAAGTGGTTTGCGATAGGTTGTTAACCCAAGGGTTGGCAGTTGAAACCCACCTAGCAGCTCCACAGAAGGCAAGGCCTTGAAAACTGCTTCCTTAAAGATTATAGCCAAGAAAACCCTATGAAAGCAGTTCTACTCTGTAACATGTGTGGTTATCATGAATTGAAGTCCAAATCAGCAACAATCTAAAATAGATGGCAATGATCTAGAGAAGCATGTTAGAGGTCTTCATAAAGTAAACGACATTAGATGAACACACCAACCAAGGCATCAACAATGAAGTGGTGAATGAAGAGTTTTGAGGATTCCATATTGAGGAAAACTAGAATTAGAGATAGTGGACTTTTGTACCCAATTAGTAAGAGAAGGTTTTCATGGAGGAAACATGATCTCAGAATCACTTGACTTTGTGTGGTTGCAAAACTTTTAACAGTATAGCATACAGGGTAGAGAATGGGTTGTGGGCGAGGCAAAATGGATTCTAATACTGAGAGCTCTGGTGGCATAGTATCTAAGGCATTTAACTGCTAATCAGAAGGCTGGCAGTTCAAATCCATCAGCCACTCCTTGGAAGGA